CGTCTGTCACGGTGACGGATGAAAGCATTCGGGGATGCAAAGACAAATTTTGCGAAGCATCTGGTAGAAAAAAGTTATTAACACTACTTAATATGTCATTTAACAAACACAGTCAGGATACAACTTTGATGTGTGACAAGCATTTCTCACAGCCTGATCCTTAACAAAGGTCACACACGAGTCTTTCAAGGTAAGTTACACTAAGTACTTGCAGCGTGTCCCACAGAGCCAACAACCTGTGGGCACGCTCATACCCTGGCGTAAATGTCAGGTATGGTGGAACAGCTCTCGCTTCGGTGCAAGATGAGTTGGCTAATTTCTTCTTTGGGCTGCCAAAGAGTGATAACATAACCTCAGGTACTACAAAGCAGCTGCTCTGCCATAAATTTACGTACTGTAGTAAACTTTACTGCTTGTCCGTACTTTCACAGTCTGCAAGGAGTCCGTGAAATGCTTTAAAATGGATCCAAAGAAAGAATAAAAAGGCACTGTGGCATTTTCCAGCTGCCAATAACTCAGATTTCATACACACAGAATCACAGAATGGTTTGGGTTGCAAGGGACCTTAATGCCCACCCAGTCCCACCCCCCTGCCATGGGCAGGAACACCTCCCACCAGACCAGGCTGCCCAAAGCCCCATCCAGCCTGGCCTTGAACACCTCCAGGATGGGGCATCCACAGCTTCTCTGGGCAGCCTGTGCCAGTACTTAACCATTTCTATAGAAAAGAATTTCCTCCTAACATCTAATCTAAATCTCTTCTCTTTAAGTTTAAAACCATTCCCCCCTGTCCTGTCTCTATCTGCCTGTGTAAAAAGTCACTCTCCACTTTACAATGATACCTCCCACCACTACGACACCTTACTACCACTTCAGTTCAAGTCTTCTTAACTCAGTCATGTTCAAAGACTGCTAAACCACTCATTAAAATTTCATATATGCTACACAAACGAAACTAGGGAGATTGCTAAGCTTAATGGATATTTCTTCAGGTATATGAGAATAAAGGAAGAACCTTTGCAGCTTACTCGTCTTTCATTAAGGGCGTGGGTCTGAACAGAGTCAATAACATCTTCCTTTACTACTTTAATAATTCAGATGGAAATTAAAATTCTGAAATACATACCACAGTTTTGTTTATTCTTCTGTAATTAACAATATTTGCCTATCCCCATCATTTTTCTTTTATTCTTAATTTTGAATTTCTTTCACAATTCCCTGAACTGTTGCCTGAGTTTTCAAATGACTATGAAAGGCTGAGAGGAATTTGTAAATTGCTTTGATTCACCTACTACATCTCCTTCCCTCCTCCAATGCCCAATTAGCAGAAAAAACATCAAACTACATGGGACCCCATAAATGGGGATGAGGACTGGGGTCTTGCTGAAGCATGGAAACCAGGTGGTTCCAGCCCTGGCCTTGACAAACAGCCTCCTCCATGGCTCATCTGAAAGCTCCCCATGGATCTGAATGATGTGGGAAACTAATTTCCAAGGTGTTGCCACCCTGAAATCATTTGTTGATAAAAGGCAAAACAGAAAAGGTGGTGATCCAAGAGTGCTCTTTATGAACACAGATCCCAGCGTAACTGCACAGGTCACATTTACCTAGAGCTGACACTGAGAAGGAATAAGGAGAAAACTACAAACAATAATACTGGCTTTATCTCCTCACAACTTAGCAGTGAACCTCTGCTAGTGATTCCCACAGTAAAAGTTTCCAAGGGCATAGCACAGAATGCTTCCTCCTTGAAACGAGGTGTATTACTACTCTGCTTTGCCCTAATTTAGCATGTAATTGATTTAAATGTAAAAAGAGATTTTATTTTTCCAGATATTTATTTTATTAAATGTGAAAAAATGCATTATTTCTAGTTTATTGCAACCCTAAATCTCTCTCCTTTTTTTTTTTTTTTTTTAATTATAAGGGTATTTGTGTTCCATTATTATCCTTGAGTTTGATGGCAGTATTATTATTGTACCAAGCTCTTCCCTAAAGAGAATGCTCTTTTCTTTCTCTTTTTCAGCTCACTATGCCCTGAAGTTATTCTGTGGAAGTTTCTGTCATGAATTTGAGTGAAACACACACTGTGAGTATTTTCAGCAAACTGTCATCCGCAAAATGCTTATTTGTGTCTGCAGATGAATGGACAAACAGATGGGGTTGTTTACAACAGCCTTAGGCACACACACTACTGTCATTCTGCTTTTACAGAATCTGTCCTGTATACATAGCAGGGGCAAAATTAGAAATAAGAAATTAAGAAAAATACCAAATCTCCTTTCAAAGATTCTAAGCCACGGTGTCACACTGTTGCTTAACTACACTATTTATATACATCTGTAAGATATACACTCTATAAGATATATATCTTATAGATGTATTGAGTATATTCTCTATCTATAAGATATCTATATATCTATCTTAACTCTACTATCTATACTAGGTAATTTCCCCTTTTTCTGTACTAGGTATATTTAAATTCTGCTTTCAGGCGTTGGTTCTTATACCTTTGTCCATAGAAATTAAAATCCTCTATTCCACTCTGACTGCGTTGCAAAATCTTACATATAAAGTAACTAAACCACTCTCCAAATTTTCTTCCATAAGTATGCTACACCTCATAATGTAATGACTGTAATGTAATTAGAATTACATGACTTTTCTAATTCTTTAACAAATTTCTATGAGCGCTCTCTAGAAGTATTATTACATAATCTTTTTAGCCACAATATTTGCTATGAGCTCAAAGCACATGTCTACAAAGAGCTCTGCATCTTCCTCGGCCTGTTACATCTCATCCGTAGCTTGCTGTTTTCATAGGAGTAATTTCACTTACCTTTATAAGCCTTAAACTTAGCTAAGTCTTAGAGAAACAGGCACCTCCAACAAAATTTCCGTGTTACTCAACTGAGGTACCAGTCTGAGCCTTTAGAGACTATTTTGTGAACCTACCATAACATTTCAGTTCAACACGTGTGGTTTTAAGTAAGTCTCCCCACCACTCTTCTTGTGCCTTGGCTCACACAGCAGAGAGGTTGCAGTGCGTGCAGACTGGATTCCTTCTGGATGAAACTCAAATAGCAGATACACTGCGTGAGTGCATCAGAAGCGCTTCAATCAGTTCTCAAGACAGGTCTAAAGCTAGCCTTAAGTAAAACTCACAAAAATGGGCACTGAACCCTTAGCACAAGCCATTTCACTCTACAGATCTGCTCCTGTTATGCCGTGCTGCTTATTATTATAGACGTAGCTTATGGCCTTCCAGGGATTGTAAAGAGACCTCTGGGTAACCAACTGACACAATGCATATGATTTCAGATTGTGAAGTGCAATAAATCCCTCTGGTGTCCAGATATCTTACCTTCACTCGGCTATATATACACTGAGTGACAGATTGTCATAATGGGACCATTTAGTAAAAGTTTACATCATTCTAAATAAGTAACCTGTTGTCCTTGTCATTGCTACCTGCCAATCTTTGTTGATGCCAAATACTTCATCAGCAAAGATTTTATTCTCTAGATTTCTGGGAAATTTACTGAATGGCATTAGACCTTGCTAGTGAAGACCTCACTCATCTCTCCCTGTGGAGAAATGGTTTGTCGACCATCCACATACATCATTTTGACACTATCTGTGCAAACTTTTAAATCCAGCAGAGGCCTTTTTTTTTTTTTTTTTTTTTTGAATCAAGGCAGAAAGTCTTCTAAGAAATTTAATCCTTTGATAGCTTTATAAAGCGCCCATTCAACCTTCCCCTTCCAAAAGGCAGCAGACACGTTTGCCATGAAACAATTCCACAGAGGACAACGATATTTTCCTTTTAATTCTTTATTCCTGGAGTCCCAGTGAATCATTACAATGTTAGGAAATAATTAAAACAGAATTATGCAGTTCTACCCTACTACTTATTAAGTGCTGCAGCAACATCCCATGGTCCCAATCCCCTATGGTAGCAGGCAGCATACAGATAGAATGAAAAGATCCCTGTCCAAAACCATTTAAACTTCTAATATCAAAAGATGTTAGATCTGTACAGTAATTGCTTCATGGTGTATTACATTAAGAAAATTACTTACATGTACGTATACGTGTATTTTAAATTACTCTCATCTTTTGCTCCTTGTTCTAGTTGTGCCAGCACTGCAAGCAAAGGGTCTAATCCTGCTTTTACGGAAATCAAAGTGAAGTGTTTCAAGTGTAACTGCACCAATATGTTAAACATAATATACTATGCCACTTCTTGGAAAGGTGGACAGAGTAGGAAATTCTTATATAACATGAATGAAAGTGATTTTTCTGTTCACATCACTAGATATATTCCTGCTCTTGTCCCAGATCACCATGGTTAAGACATTTCATACTTCTATGGCAGACCTCACATATTTGACGCTAGCTCTGAATGAGTCAATGCATTTCCTTCTTTCCTCCCAATGTCTTCTTCATGTCTTAGAGTTCCCACAGCAGGAATCTGTAGCAAAAACTATCACTATTTTTATATAAGAATGGTGGGAGGAGAGAGGGTTTTATCTATTATTGCTACTTTCCATTGTGGGCTCTGGCATACTGTGGAAGTGCTGGGAAGAAGAATGGCTATTCAGCTTTCTTCTATTTCTTTACTGTCTCTTAAACCTTGCCCTATTACACACTTACTGGAGGCATGGCAAGTTGCCCTGCTGGAAGAAATAAAAAACATATGGAAAAGAAAGAGCCTGATGTTAAAACAAATATCCAAAAATACCATAACACAATAAAAGATTATAGAACACAGTGCCTTGTACCAATAGACAACTGAGGATTAAGCCTGCTTGGTTACTTGTGGTATCTCTATTCCAATCTCTAACAAAACTTAATGCAACGCCTTCAGTGCACTATACTTCCCACACAGACCTGCAATCCAGCAGCTAATAAAGGCACTCTTACCCTCAGCCAAGCACAATTTTGTTAAACTCTCATGTAAGCGATTAAAAGAAGACAGAAAGAGTCACGTTTATTACCTGAATTGTCTGGTAAACTGAAGGATCAAATCCTTTCACAGTCACCTCGCGGAAAACTCTTGGCTCCAGTTCCTCTTTGGTCAGATCACAGTGATAAATAATACCTATAACAGAGCACAGCTTTGTCAGCTTAGTGTATGGGCATCATTAAAAGGATGCTGGTTTAGGCACTGAGATGGAGTAATGAAAGCAAAGATAACTCAGCAGGGTAAAAAACAATAGCTCCTGATACGTTCTTTCAGTCGATATACATTAACATATACATATATGCACTTCATCTAAGAGGGCTGCAAAGGCTTTCCATAAAGACAGAATAATTCTAGCTGCCCATACAAAGTCTGTTTTCAAAGTGGGTTAAACTGAAAAACAAGTTTAAATGAAGTTACATAAACTTTCTTGAAAATGATAAAATTGGAAGAATTCTAAAGTCTACTTTAAATCATCTCCTCCATAGCCAACAGCCTAAGAATAAATACACCAAGAATTTTATTCAAATCTACATTTTTCTCTCTATAATGTGGTGTTTTTAAATTACAATTGAAACAGAACCCTAGATAATGGAAAGAGCTGGGCATCCCCTTGAAATTGTGGCAGAGTAGCAGGTTACCTATGTGACTGAACAGAATTTCGGTCTACAACAATTTATTTTACATCCTGATCCTGAAGGCTTGAAGGCAACTTCGCTTGCTGGAGCTGCACCTATGATTTCCAAATGATTGTGCACATGAGAAAATTTCTCTCTCTGAGCAGTACAAAACTTCTAGGCTTCAAGGTATTTTTTCAGACTGCAGAGGCAGAATCACAGACACTGTAGCAGTCTAGACACTACACAGATGTGTAACTAGCCAAGAGTAATTTTGTATTTAGAGCAAGTCACCTATTCTGTCAATTAATCCTGGTACCACTTGAACATGTGCCATACAGGGTAGGACCTTTAGGAGAGGGGCTCAGGCTACTATTGTGTTTGCACCCTAGTTCACATACTACAAAATCCTATGATTCATGCATACAGTGCAGACACATACAATATACCCGCAGTGTTAATTGTTCTGGTTTTCTGCTTTAAAACCAGATGGTCTCTGCAGAATTTTAAATGTGCATTAAGGAAAAGAACACTAAAAGTTGAAGGCAACAAGCCTTCTCTATAGAAATTCTCACTGTAATAAAATTAACCAAGGTGGACAAGACTTGATTGAAATAATGCAATATTGCGTATCCTTTAAATAATTACTTCTGTTTTCCTGAAAGTATTACAGAGGTTATGGCTATAAAAATTATATTGAAAAATGAAATAGCGAGGACACATCTAATACAAGTTAATTGCCTCATTAAATCATTTTTTATGGACTGTGGAAAATCAAAGATACAGATTGGCAAAGAAACACAGACAAAAAGCAATACTTCTAATAACTGATACAGCCTTTTTCCGTAATGGTCAATTAATAGGGGAATAAAAAGGAGGACTGCTCTGATCTGCTAGGAATACTTTTCCTTCATTTTCCTTCACAAAGTGACTAGCAAACTTAACTAATGCGGGGTGACAGATGCAAATAGGCATTAAAACAGCATTTCCCTTATGTATAAGGATCCAGCAAGTGATGTGAAAATGGAAAATACACCAGCTGGTCACAGGCAGGGCAGTTTTACTGCTGCCCAGAGTAGGCAGAATAGCTAACAATGGGAATTGTTAGGGACAATGGGAATTGCAAAGAGATTTTGACACCATAAAAATCATAAGGTTTTAGAAGTCCTTTATTCATTATTTCAAATATTTCACTATTATTATAAGCATTAAGCATCAGTATGTTAATTTGTTTCTCATTAGAAAAAAAACATTAACTTTATGCAAGAGTAAATAATACTGCATTCTAGCAGAAACGTAGGAAGATTTAGGTTAACCAAGGACCAGTCCTATACCTTTCATCTGATTATTCTACTGATAAAGTAGAATAATCTACTGACAAAGGTTTTAGGCAATTAAAAAATATATATATATCTATATCTCTCTACACACTTACCTAAAAATTACCTCCCTGGTCTGCTTTCCTCACCCTTTCATTATTCCCATACATTTTACCTCAATTTTTTCCCTTCCTCTTTCTTCAAGATTCTAGGTCCCTCTGCCGCACAAGGCAAAGCTACTCCATGGTGAATTTTCTGTACATGCTAAGCACTTGGGAAAAGAAGGAAAAAAAAATTGCCTACTTGATCAGTGAGAGCAGCCATTGCTGGCTGGCTGGCAAGCCAGGAGCTAAACTGGATCTTGGGGCTCTTCCCCTCCACGTGTTTAGCAGCTGCAGAGACTAGTAAGATGGATGGCACAGGCTTGTAAGACCAGCAACTTCTGTCCCACAGAGTGGGATGTGAATAAGTGAACTATCTAAACCATCAAGTTGGGATGAAGTTAGGTGTAAAAGCAAGAGTAAGAGTGTCCTCAAGCTCCTCTCCAACTGATTGCAATGATCTAACTGCTGTTCTAAAGTGTTTATTTTATTTTTCTTTTTAAGGAACTGGAAACATCTTATTTCTGGTTGTGCAAACAATGAGATAATAGGAAAGTCACCACACTTCTTTTCTGCTATGTTTGGTACATAAATTAGATAATTTGACACAAACCTTTCAAGCAAAACCACCAAATCTATCAAAACTAGCGTACAGCCATTTTGTAATGCAGCTGTGCTCTAACTACTGACACAGAGCAGAACTATACATCAGATGCTGTAAGAACATTTCTGATCATCTTATCATTCGTGATTACTAATAACTCTGGATGAGGCTAGAGATTCTGGCTAAAGATTCTTCTCTCCCCATGTGAATCCTGTCCTTTATTAACTATTGGCTGTTTGGGGGACAGAGCAAAGAAGAAAAAAAAAAACAAAACCCACCAAACAAAACAAAACCCAGAATCAAATACATTTTTTCTTATCACATACTGACTTCATGATTGTAACTTGGCAATTGTGTAGGAAGTCCTTTTGTTTTTCAGAATCCAGCAATATCAGTTTTAGCTGGAAAAATTAGACTTGAAAACTTTCCTAGTGTTAGCAGACTTTGGCTTTGTCTCCTCCACTCCAGAGAAATGTGTTTTCATAGCTTATAGCTCTGATGTATACCATTGATGCATATATACCAATATATGCATACCAATGATGCATACCATTCTAACGGGTGGGCACCCAGGTATTTTGGCAAAAAACAGGTATTAACCCAGTGCTTTGTCATTAATGCTGGTATTAATTTATGAGAACTAGAAAAGTTTCCCAATTCTTTCTTCACATCAAGTTGAAGAGAAAAAGGAAAAAAATAAAGCTGTTTTTCTCTTGAAATCTTTTACAAAACAGATTCCATAAAAGATCAAGGCATCTTCTTTTTTCCAGAAAACACACTTCTGAGACAACAATCATAACTGTCCTAGTGTCTTAATTAAAAGTGACATGATACACGCTCTCTGATCTTACGTGAAGTATTTCTTACGTCAAATGAATCATCTGATGCATTACCTCCAAACCTGAAAACTGAAATTAATACTCAAAAGTCATTATGAGACACTCACCTTAGTCTTTTGTCAAACCACAGAATTTGTACAACAACATTTAGGTTCTTTTAAAAATTATGAAGGCTGGATTTCAAAATAACTTATCAGTATAAGTTATTCCAAGTGAGCATTGCTATGAAGCTTTACTATCTTGTTTACCTGACTGTTACTGTTAAGAATGTATATTAGGTTCAAAGTAAGAGATCACTCAGAAAGCCCAAGCAGATTCCAAAATAACACAGCACATGGGGTTTAGTTTTGTATTTCTTGTTAATGCAGTGACATCATTACATGACTGGGAATCCCAGCATTAAATCCCCATGTTTGCTCTGAAGATGGCCCTTTTAAAGTTCAAAGCATTACACTAGGGATACTGGCCTTTTTTCTTCAAGTCATTTATGTCTGACTGCAGCAATAGAAGGACTTCTCTGCTGGGAATAAACACCACTTGGTAACGTGGCTTTCCTGAACAGTACACAATCAATACTGCTCTTAGAAGATAAAGTATTTTTTCACTGTTATTGTTAAACACAGTACAAGGAACATCACAAGATAACTTTATTTTAGTTATCTCTAATGTAACTTTTAATTTCAATTCCAGCATTGTATGGTAACTACTGGATTCTGAATATGGATGGTGCAAGAGATCTAAAGGTGATTCCATCTTGCAACTGAGACTACCACATTTCATGCTTTGCTCTGTACTCAGGTCAAACATTACAGTCATGCCAAACCTACAGATTTCTATACTCAGTGAGCAGAATGATGTCACTCTGGAAAAATGAAATGTAATGCTAAGGGAATGAATACCACTTCGATGAGGGAAACTCTCAATACAGGTCAATGCTAGCTTTATGAAGACAGCCTTCAGGATATATTCCTATTTGCAATGGACTTCAATTCTCCTCCTTCCCTGTCTGTAATTAGAATACTTGTATTAACCTCAACAAAACAATACCTATCTAGATATTTTATATTATGCTATTTTGAAGACTCTAAGCTTTTAATTAGTTTTGCTTTGACCTCTTTACACCCTCATTTTTCTCTTTAAATGATAAGAAATCACATGAGAATCTCTGAAAACATGAGCTATGAAATAGTGAGAAATATGCCTGAAAATTGTTTTTAGAAAAAATCCTTTCCAGTCGGTTGCTCATTTCTATTACTAAGATGCAACCCAAATTGCCATCCTTAAAGCGAGTGGGAGCTTAAACGAGTAGAAGAACAAGTAGAAGAAACAAGGATATAGACAAAATTGGGAAGTTTGTAAGTTTCCTTAGATTCAACTAAAGCTGTTGTTCAATTTAACATATATTTTCTGGAAGAAGAAAGAGGAACCTTTGGTTTGGGACATGAAATAGCTTCAAAAAGGATTCACTGTCTGCACAATTAACTTGCTTTTTCAGGTGAGGAGTGCTTCTGTGGCAGCAGTCACACTAACCATACACTGCAACACCATTTGTAGACTTTGATTTTACTGTATGAAGCAATGCAAATGCTAGAACTTCATCTCTAGCACAAGTCAGTCTTTTGTAGTTTCTGAATACAGATCTCACACGTTAGCAGGCACATTATTATATAGATCATGGACTTCTCCACTGGTACATGCTATGGTTGCCCATAGGGTGAGAGAAAGCAATTTTATCTGCATCTTAGATGTACCTAATACATACTAAACAACAGAAAGCAGATCCCCAGGAAAAGGAACAATACACAAGAGAAAAAAACATCTTACCTGGAGATAAAAAGGAAGTAAACTGATAGAATATTTCACTATCCTTCTTTTGACCGCTATATCCCACAATACTGCCAACCTCTAGTGGGAAAGTCTTGAGATGTGCACCAGTAGCTAGATCATGAAGTTGCAGCACATTCTTCACATCATGCAGATAGCACAAAACCAGGAAGTTGGACCTCACGCAGGCAACCCATTCTGCACAGAAAAGAAAAAGTCAAAAACAGTCAAAAAGAAAAACAAAGACATAATAAATACAGATAAATTGCACAAAAGAAAACAAATCAGGTTAAGAGCTGACTCAAATTCTTTAGCATACCTTAAAAAAAAAAGCACCAACCCTTCTGACATTGACCAAATTTAACTCTTAAATCCTTTAAAGTCACCTGCTTTCTGAAACCAAAAAAATGAATCCAAACGTAAAAGCTGACATCCTTTGGACATGCACTAACCATGTAGATTTACATTTATGCACACACAGATAAAAAGAATTGTTTAACCCAGAGTTTTCTGCATTTTGAGTTTATGCATCAGTATTGTTCTTAAACATCACATATTTTAATGAAAAAAAGACCAAACAAAATGGCCACCAAAAATTGTTTTAGTTTTCATGTATTTCCATAGGTATTGCTGACAGAATTCAAATCAGTATGATCTAGGCTTACGCTAAATTAATAGTGAAAGAGAGACATGTTATCCTGTATTGCACAATAAGTATATAGCCTAGAAGTTACCATTCATCCTGGTTTTACTGTCAGTATTCAGAAGACTATTATTGTAATCAAGCTTTACTCAGTATACGAAAAGGGCTGTTCTGAGCCCTGTGAAGTTCTCAAACATGCCATTTTCTAAAAGCAAACAAAATAATGACCCTCCTCCCCCCAAAAACAAACAAACAAACAAACAAAACAACTAAATCAGAACACCAAACTACCACCTGCTTATTCAAGAAATTCATATTTTTAAACAGCGTTTTTGAGACTCTATAGTTGGAGAGACAGGATAGAGTGTATCTGTATGCCTCAGCCTGGCATACAGACCCAGGACCAAATGGCACTGCAGAACTTCCTTTCCTTTATGCCTCTCCTGACAGCCCCAAGCCCCTGCAGAGCTGTGGACCTCAGGTGTGCAGCTGTGCAGGAATGAGAGCTGCTGCTGCACCTAACTTTTCATGTGCTGATTTTTCCCCCAGAAGAATTACAGGAAAAAAAAAACAAAAAAACAACCATAGAAACGGGAACTTTTTCATTGAATGCCTTTTTTTTTTTTTTTTTTTTTAATTCTACTTTGGAAAATCAAATACAAATAAGGCTAAAAGTCATGAACAAATAAGGATGGAAGGAGGGACTTTTTGTTTGTTTGTAGTCATTGCCTTCTTCCAACTACATATATGCTACTTTTGCCTTGATAAGTGTGACCAGAGACCCAAATCATAGACAGGGTAGCAGCATTAGAATTCTTATCTACTGGAAGCAAAACCAAAAAAGATGGACTCAAACAAGCAAGAAAAATGAGACAGGACTGACTGGACCACACCGCAGTGTCAAAGTATCACTGCAAGGTGGGGACTTCAAAATACCAACACAGGAAGAAAAGACAAAATAAAATGGAAGCAAGAAAAAATTGACTCATTTTCTGTCTTACACTATATTATTCACATTTAACAGTTCTTTCAATTTTTCTCAAAGCCTTATAGAACCCAGTGATTTGAGTTCACAGAGTTGTACTGACCACAGCCTTATTAAAAGCATCTTGGAGCATTCAGGTTTCAGAACAAAGTTCAAAGACATATCCTGTGCCCTTTCCTTCAAGGATAACAAGCTCTTTCTGAATTGTAGGTCAAAACTCATTACTCTGCAAAGCACAGCATCTTCAACAGTCTCTGCTTTTGTATACAGTTCAGGTCTGTCATGATCCCCAAGAGTTTGAAGACCTTCAAATCCTAATAGGTCCAGGGAGTCTGCTTTCCTCTCAGCTCGTTCCTGAAGAACCAGCAAAATTTAACTATTCTGACTTTCTAGCCATACGAATTTGTGAAAAACAATACTCCCAAAAGACTACCAATGAAATTACTTTTTTTTTTTTTCCTAGGCTTTCAACTCCCTCATGAGCTTGTAGCCTAAATCTGTAATTTTTTGAGCCAAAGCCCCAGAGTACAACACTAATTGAAATTTCAGCCATGAAGCCATGACCTGAAATAATACAATACAGCACAATGTAAGATAGTCTATAAATTTAATTGCTGTGTAATTTTTGCTCTGGAGTGACTTAAACCTCTTAAGTGAGACTGGAGAAGAGAATAAACTTCATAACTTTGTTATATCCAATTACAGATTTTGAAATATAGAACCATTCCTGGCTTAACACACAAGGAGAATATGCAGTCATTTCAAATATTCATTACGTTGTCGTCGCACAAATCTGCCAACAGTCACATGTATAACTGGTTTATTAATAAAAAGCTGAATTAAAAAAATAACATCCCTACAGTAACATCGTGCAGTCAGAATCTGCTCTTGTGAAATTTTTAGTACTAACAGGAACATCTGTGGCTAAAATGTCCAGTTTTACACTGGAAATCTCCTGATAAAGTTTCACAAAAAGGATTGAGATACTGTCAGATCTGCCTCAAATGTATATAATATGTAGCTCTGATTCAGCAAAAAAACCCTTTGGGCAGTCTTTATTTTAAAATTAAATTGTGATGAACCTTAATTCCTCACTGATTACTTAACAAAGCATTGCAGTTTAGTGGATGTTTTCATTAAGCTGAAGTACATGAGGTATTACTTTTTTTCTTAAAAACGATTCACTTGCTCAGGGGTAAGGCTGCTGGCCTACACGAGGATTTCTGCTATGGAACTTGCCTAGGAAGCAGCAATATTACCTTAATCACCACCCCTTTTATTTACAAATTGGATGCCTTCAGCATGGTGAAAATAGCAGATGAGAAGACAATGGGAAATGTTTTTTAAATTGTCTAGGAGATTTTGGAACACAGCTTCTTTGGCATCCCTGTGTTAGAACTGGTTTGGTGCCTTGCTAACTGCCTCCAAAACTTATAGTAAGGAATGTTGAAATATGTAAATCAAAACATAAAACAACTGAGGCAGACAAGAGTGGAAGAAAATAAGACACCTTAAGAACCAACATTTATATACATAACAAGCAAAAACAATGCTAAATTATTAACAAGTGCTATTTCTGACTGCAAGCTGAGTCTGTTACTCCCATGATCAGCACTGAGAACTGCAAATACCCTTGAGTTAGTCAAGGGTAGTCTGCTAGTTAGCCTCCCCAGTTTTGCTCATGCTCTGAGAAAAGCATCCTGCATGCCTCTGCACTTTCTTGAAGCTTTTAAGATTGCGTGCATGCAGCTTCACATGTCTAGAAGTTAAGACTGACATCGTTGCTGTAGGCTCCCTTTACAGACAATGGGCAAAAATAAACACCTTTAGGATGCACTTCACTCAACTATATTGCCTACCCTGTTCCCGGACACTGTGAATTGCTTACTGAGCAATTTGTCTACATACTCACAGGATTTTTTTTTTTTAATACGTTTACCATCTGAAAACTCTCCAACACATAGGGTCAGTTTATTTTCAGTTAATACTAATGGACAGATTGGTTGTTCTCACATTTTTTTTCAAGCTCGGGTACACCTAAACTCATTAATTGTTCTCCAGCATACCTACAATCCACATCAGGCAAGGGATTTATTTTAGTAAGAAACAACCATGCAGAAGGTTGCCTTTTCCAACCTGACCCTCTTGGCTTTGGCACCAGAGATGGATGGACACATTTGGAAGCACTGGTCAGTGCTAAAAGCAAGTGTAAAGGATTATCGTTGGTACCACCCAGTTCTTTCAGAAGATGATGTCCACCTTGATGGCTACATTATGTTCCACAAAATTCTTCAATTGCTAAATCTGGGCTAGCAAAATTGATTGTCAATGCTTTGAGCTCAACCATCTCTCTTTAATAGAAGTGGTCTAGGTTCAACCTTTCAGAAACCTATACACTAATACCTTCCAAAATCTAGTTTACTTTGGCAGCTTTCACAGAAACACTGTGAGAGCCAAACTAGTGCCATGCGTATTAAAAAGTTATGAAATAGTTTTAGGAAAAAAATGTTGAATTCTCACAGATACGTTGAGCACTCTGTGCCACTAACCTTAATTACTTATACCAGTTCTGACCTTCATTTCTGCAGCAGTAGCTACAGCATGTTAAGTGTCCCAGTGTACAAACGTGTTTTGACAGATGCAGGTTGAAATGTTGATGGTAGAGGATATGCCAGGCTAGAACTATGTAGTCATAAGAAGAAACAGTTAAGTTAGTTTCGGTACAATATGCTTATGCATCCACTTAATAAATAAGAACACATTTGAATGGACTTCCGAAGCTTTAGCTGGAAAATAGACCTGCAAGGCCATTTTTGGTTTCTTTGATCATCACAGACAGCAACCATAAGTTCGCAGATCAACAGGTATGCACGTTGATGTTGATCTCCCATAATATGACCCATAACCATCATTGAAGGTTATCTACGGGCAGACTTGAAAGTAAAGTATTAGCAATTTGCAGAATAAAGCATGAATCATTCCGAAACCTGTGAGTAAAAGTTCATGAGCCCTCATAGCATATGTCTTTTCTCTGAGACACCATCCTCTGCCCACCACGTTTAAGTTAAGGACAAGGCTCCAACAAACTTTAATACACCAAGGATTTTATACTCCACCTTCTCTCAGTATGAGACAAACAAGAAGGAGTAGGAAGGCACAGCTCTTCTGAAGCTCTTTCGAAAGCTTCTTCAAGTAACTGGCAGACTTCAGTCATCTGTGACTGATTGAGGTTTTTCCATGCTAAACTGAGTTAATCAGAGCCACAAAGGCCCTAGCAGAGGAGCAGAATAAAACTCTCAGTGGGACACGCATCTGGACTTCATCCTCTCCTCATGTCCCATAGTGACTGAGGGATCGTATCTAGCCTGGCCAGATCTTAGAGGGTAGTTTTAGTTGCTAGGAAACATGGGAGCTAACCCATTTTTTTTTTAATTAAAAAAATAAAACACACACACACAAAAAACACATTTCACAGTAGAATCTTATCAATCTGGTCCTTTGCACTGCAGCAGATTTCTTCCTCTCTGCCATACCTCTGTGCAAGCTGTCCCCACAGTGTACTTCCTCAAG